TCGTTCAGGGAAGCAATTGAAGCAAGGGGCAAAGTCCCTCACTCTTCCACCAGCAACCGTCAGGTTCCTGATGTGACCACAACCTGGTTTGTGGTACCTTCTCCCTGCTCTTGTTGCTATCCGGACTGTGGGGAGGTACTCGAAGAACTCTCGGACTTCGACGTTCTTTTCCTGTTTCCACATTTGTATCATCCCACAGACGAGAGAAGCCATCATGGCTATGAGGACGATTCCTACTCCTGCTATGTGTAGCATCATCGCTGCCTCTGGTTCCTGGAACGGCAGCTCCGCTACCATGTCAAAGATAGGGTCAATCTAAAGCTAACTGAAAAGCTGGGACACTCCACACTTTTCCTGGGTTCGCTGCGGTGTGTGTCCTTGTTCGAGCCTGTCGTCGACAAGACGTTCCGAGGCTCTGGTGTGCATTCCACATGCACCTGGTGCACAGCTTCCTGTACTGCGTAGATGTTTAACAGAGCAGCACACGTTCTGCAAGGGGTTGTTGGGACTCCTCCTGGACAGGAGGCTCCGGCACGACACCGCTCAAACCCCACAACCTAACGCACTGCTCCTCCTCGACCCAGTACGGTACTGGAGTGCCTGAAGCTGCTGCGGGCGGGTTCCGGACACCAGGGCACGGTGCAAACACTGCGCCACGCACGCCAAGCAACAACAGACACAATAACAGCAGCTGAAAAAGGAGGTTTGCCGTCAGACGTTGGCGTGCGACGCGGGTCCCGCCCTCCCGGGGGGAGGTTGCTGGAACTGCAACACTGCTGGGCACTGTGGTTTCGTGCTCTCCTCCTGGTGGCTAGGTCCTGGCAGTTTGTTGGCTGGACCTCACGCAGCCCAAACATGCAAAACCCACCAAAACCATCTAAGCTAAACCCACCCGGGCGACATTGCGGTGGACCCGGCACTGGTGCAGGCCCATCTCTTCCGAGTGGCGAGTGTGGCAGGCGAGTCCAATCCAAATCATAGACGCTTGAATTTCCGGCGCTATCATCTGGTTGGCATTGCACGGTGTTGTCGTCATCCTCATCGTCGGTGTCCAACCTGAACCACATGGTTGGGGGCTGCTGTAGGCTCACTTCGGGCCAAAAGGGGGGTTTGCCTTGGCCAAATGGGCGCGGTCATTTGGGCACTTATGCCATGTCCCCATCCTGGCTTCAGACTTGGACTTACGTGCTCATCCTGCCCTCCAAGGGGCAAGCCAAAGGCCTGAAGTGCTTTGGCTATGACGAGGGTTGAAGAGACCTCGTTTGCAGTGCGGTTTGCAAACGTGCTGCGTGCGTTTTCACGCTGAGCCTCCAACTCAGCGATTACCGTCAATGCCCTATCATGCTCAATCACAGGGCAACCGTTCTGAACCCTCAACGTGGTGAGCTCACCCTCAGGGGAACGCAAGAAACACTCATCAGCTGTCCAACTCAACATGTAACCCAACCGCGTGACGAGCTGTCCCAACGGCACAATTGCAGCTGGCAGCCCATCCCTCCCGGGAGGCGTGAGTATCACCCCGCGTTTGTTGATGCGCATGTGTGACGCGTGGCCCCCCGCTAAACCCACCTCCACCTGCTCTGCCTCGAGCCACTCCTCCTGTGACGATGCTGGTCTTAAAGGATGCGTTGCGCCGGAATCTACCAAACCGAACACGTTCACACCCTCAGGCTGACTGTTGGGCGAGTTTGTAGGGACGCATGTAGGGCAGTGGATCGTCAAGCTCTGCATAGAGGGATTCCGGGCCGCATCACCTCCCGATGCTTTGACTGAAACTTCTGCCCTTTCGTTGGCCTCTACCTGCCTAATGGCCCTTAGCGCCTCTTGCACGAACTCGACCATGCTCGCGTTCACAGGAGTTGCAGGCACAATGGGTTGAGACGCGGATGAAGTGGATGACACGGCAGCTGAGTCGGACTCACGAATGGGGTCAGCTGCTTGAAGTGTTGGCGTTGACGGTTGGGCCGCTGAGTCCTGCTTAGCCTTGCCAGCTTTGCAATCTCTTGCACGATGCTCCTCTGACCCGCACGCCAAACACTTCTTGTCCCTTTCAGTTTTGGGGAGTTCACTCATGTTGTGGGCCTGCATGGCCTTGCCCCGCCTCCCCCAGCGCCTTTCCCGGAAGGTCGGTTTCCACCACCTGATGCGTCGGCGGCTGCATTCAACACCTGGACCTTGGGATTGGGATCTACCTTCCTTGCATCTATCCCCCCAGCCATGGTTTCAAACTCAGCCAACAGGTGTTTGTGGTAATCCAGAACCTCATCTCCCGATGGGTGCAGATCAATGTGCAACGCGCTGCGCACGCACTGGGTCCGGAACTGGACATCTGCGTTTTCGGCTATGTGCTGGGCAGTCACAGTAGTCAACCCACGGGCCAAAATCGAAGGATCCGGGGCAACCATACCACACTCCAAACAACGCCGATGCCAACGACCCCACGATCTCAACAGACTCACTCCGGCTGCCACGTCCTCAAACGGCGGTGGGTCGTGCAAGTTCCTGAGTATTAGATCACGCTTGTTGGTTCCACCTGGCTGGTAAATCGTGTGCAGGCGGTACAGGATGTGCGCTGCGTTTTGCGTTGCCCTGCGTGCTATAATGTCTGCTTTGACGGACGCGTCCAACGACTCCAACAACATGGCACATGCCCTGGCATTCACACGCGACCACTTGCCCTCAACAATCTCCGTCCTGTCATCCGGGGCCACTCTCAGCCGCTCCACGGGGGACGAAGTGCTCCAACAGGCAAAGGCATCACGCGCCAACTGCAAGACGCTTGTCCACCAAAGCTGCGACGAATCCGACAAGTCTGTCATCAATCCGCTGACCAACTCAAGCCAATCCTGGAACTCCAAAGAACCACCTGACGGATTAGGGGCAACAAGTTTGGGCAGCGTTGTGATGCCTGGTTTCACTGCTTCAGGGGCGTCGTCACCTTTGACCTTGAGCTGCTGAGCCTGCAAGCTTTGCAGCTGCTGCACCCCTAAAACACTAATGCGTCCACAACTGAACTTGGCACCTCACGCGTGGCAGGCTGCTCACCTGGAGCTGCAGCGGCGGCTGAAACCTGAGGACCTTGAGTGTCTGCCACCTGCCCGACCCTCCCGGGCGGCGTTTGGCCTGCAGCGCTGGCAAAACCGCCTGAAACCTGAGGGTTTGCTGGAATCTGCCACAAACCCGTGTTCTCGGGCCGAGAATGTGGACTTGTGCCGGAATTGGCCCCTTCAGCCCTCATCTGCCCCAGACCTAGGGTTTCGGGCTGGAAAGTGGGGTCTGGGCGGTCTGGGTCAGAAGAGGCCCTGTGAGTACCTGGCACCTGTGCATCCTGAACAGTACCTGGCACCTGTGCAACCTGGGCAGATTGAGCCATGGGCTCACGCACATGCCCAACCCTTCCGGGTGGGGTTGCATTGCTGGGCAACCTTTGCGAACCCTGCAAACCCGACCACAAATTGGACCAAAACCCTGATACAGATGCAGGCGCCCTCACAGCATCCAACCTGAAAGGTGGCATCATGCACCTGATGGGCAAGAGATGGTGCTGGCAGAGGGGCCTCAACAGGCGCCTGAGCGGCATTAGGGATTAGAGGTGGGCCAGTTGGGGTCTGTGCTTGCGTTGACACTACTTCCCGCATGGACCTCTCTCTCTGCTCACTCCTCTCAAGTAGCTGCCTCAACCTCTGATTCTCCATCTCCTGCGCCTGGGCTCTAGCCTCAAAACCTGCAAGCTGCCTGGCAACCTCTGCTTGAATTGCCTCTTGAGGGAGCGATGACGACTCGGTACAGCTCGAGGGGCGTTCAGGGGCTGCAGATCTAGGGTAAAGGAGTGGGGCCCTTTGCTCAAGTGCTTACATGCGTTGCAGCAACTCGGCATTGAGTAATGGGGATTCCCTCCCGGGCCCGGGGCCAAAAGTGGTGGGTGTGCCGATTGAGTCCGGCTGCGGCGGCGAAGCACTTGACCCAACACTCCCATCTCCCAAAGCCCTCACCCTAGACACTGCTCCAGGGCTTGCACGTGTGTGGTGTGGTGGTGACTGGGCCTGCACCTCAGTCCTTGCCACACGGAAAAACTCAGAAACACGAGACATGAAAACACCAGGAATGCCTTCAACCATTTCGGAGATAGCGGGCAAACCCTGTGAACGTGGGGTCATGAACCCCTCAACTCCAGCGGTCTCACCAGTTGACCTTATGCCCCCCAAACCCCTGTCACCACCTTGGTCTGTAACCTGACGGTCGTCACCCGAGGTGTCCTGACGCAGGATGGTGTTGGCCTCTGGTCCTGGACTTCCGTCCGGAGGTTGCACTGCTTGTGGCATGCTTCGGGGCATACCGTGCAATATCCCACCCTCAGGGGTGGTCGACGCATGCTGCACGCCTTCTGCTGGGTCTATACTAGCACGCGCCCTTCCCGCAGCCATATCCACAAAACCCAAACCACCCTCAATGCCGGCGGTGGGTGCATCAGGCGTTGCGGAATGCATATGCTCTTGCAAACCATCCCTCCCGGGAGGTTGGGATGATTGCGGCGTCACGGTGCCGTAGCCCTGCGTTGGGCTCATAACCTGCTGGTGTGAACCAGCAGGCTGAGCAGGAGGCACTAGTGGAGTAGCTAATTCCCCAGTCCCATCCCTTTCCCCAGCAGACATGGCTCACACAACGGGCGGAGTAACTCTTTTACACAAGCGGGCAACAAAACGAACAGCAAAGTCTTGAAGGATTGCTATGCTATGCGCTACAGTGAGGCGACGGCACTACAGTATATACATACATTAAAATGTGTTATGCTCAAGGCGTTCTGTGCTTGGGCCTAGGAGCAACAGGAAAACAGCGAGCTACAACCAGACATGTGCAGGTACTACGCTTCCACACTAAACCTTAAACAACCCTAAATCCTTGACCCTTTAAACCCCAAACCTTATAAACCCTCAGCCCTATAAGCCCTAAACCCCATAAACCCCAAAACCTAAACCCTAAATAACCGCTCACGTGGCCAGGCATCCCTTTCTCGACGAGCACCTCCTGCGCTTCATCGGGAGCCTTCCCATCGACCTGCTGGCCTATGGACCGGGAGGCGCAGCTCTTTGTGGGGTTTAGGGTTTGTAGGTTTACGTTTAGGGGCTCAAGGGTTGAGGGTATAGGGTTGCTGAGGGTGTCAGAAAGAGGCTTTCAAAAGGTTCTCGAAGAAAATGGCTTTGGGGTTAGGGTTCTGAGAGATGGCCCACTTCGAGAGGTGGACCCCTCTCAGGTCCGCAGTGCAGCATAAAGGGGCATTCCCGTTGCGTAGGGTTTAGGGTTTAGGGTTTAGGGTTTAGGGTTTAGGGTTTAGGGTTTAGGGTTTAGGGTTTAGGGTTTAGGGTTTAGGGTTTAGGGTTTAGGGTTTAGGGTTTAGGGTTTAGGGTTTGGGGTTTATTAGCATCATGAAGGAGTTCCGTGCACTTGGAGGCCTGGTTCGGAGTATAGCGTAGCGGTTCCAGGGTACTAGGTCGCTTAGGTTCTGTTCCAAGACCCTTTTAGGAGATGCAACTGTTGCGAGCCTCTTCTTTGTTCAGCAGGACACTGGCGTTCAGCCCGTGCCCAGGCTTTAGGAAATTGAAAGGACAGGTGTCCTGTGATGATGTTCCCTGCTCTGTCGCCTGTGAAATCGCACGGCGTGCAGCCTGCCACGTGGCAGACCGCCGTGGAAAGCCTCCCGCCCTCAGGCCGAGAGAGCTTCACGAGCTCCCATGGCCACGTTTCGGCGCTGTGTCTGGGCCTCTGTGCGGGTGCTTCCGTAGCCCCAATTCCACGCCGAAGCGCATCTCGGCGGGCCCGCGCAGATCCAGTGGAGAAGGCGGGGGAAGAGCCGGCGCCCGGTCTGAGGAGTGGCTGGCGGGAGGTGCAGGGATGCCCGGTTTTTGTCCCCTCCTCGCTGCAGACTTCGGAGATGCGTTGCCTGCATTTTCTGGGTGGCGCCTTCGTCGGCGCCTCGCCGAAGTTGTTCTACAGTGACTTCATGGAGGCTCTGGCCGAAGACTGTGGGGCGGTGGTGGTTGCAACGCCCTACAAACTGACCTTCGACTACGACGCCATGGCATCAGAGACTGCGGCCAAGTATGACCAGGTCGTGGCGCGGCTGTCAGAGGAAGACCCGAGCATCAAGGATTGTGCATCAGCGGCAGTTGGTCACTCCTGTGGGGCCCTGCTGCACACTTTGCTGGTAGTCGCTGAAGGCCGTCATGAGTCTTGTGTCCTCATGGCCTTCAACAACAAGCCGGTCTCGGATGCCATCCCGGTACCCCTTCCCCCGCCTCCTGAAGACCCTAGGCTCCGGGAGCGCCTCCGAAACGGCGTGGAGGGAGCTCTCTCCGACGGCCCCGTCCAGGAGGCGCTGGCTGCCGCCGAGCGGGCCATCCGCGCCGCCGGCGCGGCCGCCCCCTCCGAGGACTTCTCGCAGCGCACGGCGCCGGTGCTCTCGCAGTGGGGCCCGCTGCTTGGAAGCGTGGTGGAGGGGCAGACGGAGTTTACACTATCGACAGACGACATCTCTTCCAGGATCTTGACCGACTTCCCATCCACACGCACGCTGGTCGTGCAGTTCGCCAACGACTTCACAGACGAGACAGATCGGCTTGCGGGCCTGATCCGCAAAGCAGGCGGCCAGGTCGACAAGCTGCGATTTCCTGGAGGCCACACCACCCCTTTGGATGCGCCGCTGGGCAGCTCCCGAATTCGTCGGCTTTCGGAATCCATTTCGGCCTTTGTGCTGGGGCGCGCGGCCCCAGGTCAAGCAGCCGCGCAGGAGGAGCTGTCCCGGCTGAAGCTTGGAGTGAAGATTGGGATCTGCTCAGCTGCCGAGTTAAGAACATGAAGTGTTCAAAGCTTCTTCGACTTCTAGCAGCATCCCCGATCAGTTGAAGGAAAGTTGAAGGAAAGATTGCCTTATCAACCCTAAACGGCCCTAAACCCTAAACCCAATATCTAGACTAAAGCCGGCAGTCAGTAAAGCTGGCAGAGACAAAAGATGGCCACTCTGCCCGGTCAGGACTCCAAAAACCGCTTTTAGGATTAGATTGGCCCTCTTATATATATATATATATATATATTATAGGTATGTATGTATGTATGTATGTATGTATGTATGTATGTATGTATGTATGTATGTATGTATGTAGGTATATGAATGCAATAACCAAAAAATGTAGAAACTATTGATATAACAATATAGTGCGCAAGTAGTAGAAACAGATAACAAGAAAGTCATATCGTAAGACTATAACCTTCCCCCAAAGCGGCTGCAGCGCTGAGGAAGGACCGCTTCCTGCGGCTCACTGCCGGCTGCAACCGCGGCTTCTCGGCTTTGCAGCTGGGGCAGCGAGCTCCTGGGATCCTGATTACCTCCAGTTTTATGGGTTATGCCTACTATTTCAAGGTAGTTCCTTCCCAGTCAAGGTTATACCTACTAGTTAAGGGGAGTTACTACGAAGCTGTAGGTAAGTAGAGTCCCAGGCAGAGATCATGACCTGCATCGAGGAGCTGGAGGCGCTTAAGCCCAACTTCCGAGGGGCCGTGGACGCCACGGACCAAGAAAGCCAGGAGCCACTGATCTCAAAGCTGTCGGGCAAGTGGCGCTTGATCTGGGCTACCTCGCCCGACGTGCTTCTCCTCACGTCCCTCCCTCTCGCCGAATGTGGCGAGATCCGGCAGGACATCGAGAGGGGCTCAGCGGAGTCAAGCGCTACCTTCAGCATCACAAACTCTGTGGAGCTGTCGCCGAAAGGCATTGGTGTGCTGGGCGTGGTGCTCCCGGACCTGGCAAGGGCCGTTACGGTCCTCTCGAAGGTACAGGCCACAGGGAAGTTGCTGCCGGACGACAGCGTTTCTAGGATGTTCTATAGAGGCTAATTTATGTCTTATGAGTCTGAAACAACAACTATCATGGAGTCAGCAACAACATGAGAGGAAAATGTGGAATATGCTCCCTCGAGTCGAACCCCCAAGGTATTGGTGCGCTTTGAGAGCGCTAGCCTGGAGCCGGCAGTTCAGACCCAGGGGATACCCTCCTTGCCCCTGATCCTGCCGTCTGTTGCCCTGACATCTGGGGAAGATTCGAGCATCCGTTTGCTGACGACTTTTGTGGACAAGGAGCTCCGCATTGCAAGGTCACCGCTTGGTGATGTCTTCATCTTCTCCAGAACAATCTAGCAGCGCACGCCCGGCGAAAATGCTCTTGCCTTCCATCTGCTCGCTCCAGATGCCCTCTCATTCTAAAACCTTCTATCAACCCAAAAAGCTTGTTGAATAGCATTGCGTGTTTGGCCTTTCGCAGTCTCTGCATAAATGAGCACCTCCCCAGACGGCAGCGGAAAGCCTCGCCTGTGTAGCAGCCTCGCCTGTGTAGCAGTCAAGGAGTCTAGGTCCAATTTGGTCGCTTGTATGCACGTTGAAAGTCTGCAGGCGAGGCTGACCCATCGCCGGACAAATGGCTGCTGCGCGAACTGGCAGCGCAAAGAGGCCTGGAAACTTGTTCGTGCCTCTGCCGCAGCGTCATTCCTGGACTAGCCGCCCAAAACCCTGCAGCCAAGCCCTCCGCCCTCAATGAACCTTCCCCAACTGCCACACGTCAGGTCTGATGCGAAGAACCCCCCCCACCCACCCCCCCAAGCAGTCCCCCTCCCCCGCCCCACCCATCCGCCCACTGCAGCATACACCCATAAGCCCGAAAGCTCCTCGCTGCTAGTTTGATCATGGGAACTGGTAACCCCGCTTGTCGGTCTGCTGAAATCACCTACTTACAGGACTTAGGGGGCTTACAAGTGCAGTTATAGTTCGGGTATACGTACCCTGAACCTCCAAAGTACGCTATCAGTCTGAGCATCTCTGGCCCCAAACCCTAAACCCTAAACCCTAAACCCCAAACCCCAAACCCCAAACCCCAAACCCCAAACCCCAAACCCCAAACCCCAAACCCCAAACCCCAAACCCTAAACCCTAAACCCTCAACCCTAAAACCCCAAACCCAGAAGCCGCCTAAGGCGCTTCAAGAAGCGGGCCATTCAGTTCGGGAGCCGCATCGCCAAGCAGTCCAATGTGCAGCACGCCGGCAGCCTGGGGCCCAGGTGGTGGAACTCCAGGGCTGAGTATGGGGTTTAGGGTTTAGGGTTTAGGGTTTAGGGTTTAGGGTTTATGGTTTAGGGTTTAGGGTTTAGGGTTTAGGGTTTGGGGTTTAGGGTTTGGGGTTTTGGGTTTTGGATCTGGGGTTTAGGGTTTAGGGTTTAGGGTTTACTCCTAATCTAGGGTACCTTCTTGGGGTCCTTATCGTAAAGGAATCCTTCTATTTGTGGGGTCGAGCCTAGGGCTCCCTTTTTTCATAAACCCCCCATATAGGGAAATAATTGCGAATAGTCTTCCCTTAGAGCCCCTTTATAACACAACTTTCACAACCCCAAAACCTGTGGTACCCTTGTTGTAATATGGCTACTTGGCTCGCAAGAAAGGCTTGAGAAAGGGACTGATAAGGGTTTCTGTAAGGGCTTACAAGGGTTAACATGGAGTCAGGGTAAGAGCCCACCCAGAACAGCCCAATGATTCATGATGCTCCCTAGACCCTAAACCTCAGATCTTGGTGCATTCGCGCGAGTTCAGGGTCATGGGGCTTTCTAGGGCTAGAAGTTCAAGTTGAGCAGGCTTTCAAATTTTTGAGGGTTCTTAAGGGAGCGGGGTTCAAGGGGGATAGGTACCCAGGAACTTTAGGGAAGCTTAGGGAGCCTTCGGGTTACATCCCCCCCTTGAAACCCCCCTCCGTTAAGAACCTTATAAAATTTAGGTTTTCGGATGGTCCAGGAGGCTTGACGCTTCTAAGCGGGGGAGGAGGGGCGAATGAATGTACATTGCTTCCCTAAGGTTCTTCTGTCGTGTTTATTCCTAGTCTCCCTCATGCTTCCTGCTCATTCTGATTCCAATCCCTGGCTCCATCAAAGTTATGATTCTAACCCTACACCCTAAACCCCAAACCCTAAACCCTAAACCCGACCATTGTAATCCTAAGCCCTGGCCCAGGCAACCGGCAGGTGCGCGGCGACATGGCCTACAGCGCGCTCGCGCGGGGCGAAAATGATATGGCGAGCTCGAGGGATGAGATGGGGTTTGCGAACCCTTGTGTGGGGGTTCCGAGATTAGGGTTTAGGGTTTCGGGTTTAGGGTTAGGGGTTAGGGTTGGGGGTTTCCGAAATTAGGGTACCTGATTGGGGTCCTGATTAGGAGGGCATCCTATTATTTGGGTACTATGTTAGGGGTCCCTTCTTTTCGCAAACCCCCATATCTAGGAAGGCTCTGGGGATATGTTGTTTTGTTGTCTTATTGGGTTCAAGAGGACCATACTTAGGAGTATTTTTCAGGGGGTTTCAGGTATGTCCCAAAGGAAGGGGCAGCTTTAGGGGGTTTTAGGGGCTTTAGGGGATTTTTTTCTGATTTTTTAGGGGATTTATGGGTTTTAGGGATTGTTAAGGGGTTTTTCAGGGCTTCAGGAGTTTGGGGGCTTCAGGGGTATTAGGGCTTAGGTTTCCACCGTCGCCCGCGAAGTGACTGAGGCCGCCATGGGCCGTGGACAGAGGTCCTGGTTGGCCTCCCATGGGCAGCGTCTTGGCTTCCGAAATTTGGCTAGGGCTTAGGGTTTAGGGTTTAGGGTTTAGGGTTTAGGGTTTAGGGTTTAGGGTTTATGGGTTTAGGGTTTAGGGTTTAGGGTTTAGGGTTTAGGGTTTAGGGTTTAGGGTTTAGGGTTTAGGGTTTAGGGTTTAGGGTTTAGGGTTTAGGGTTTAGGGTTTAGGGTTTAGGGTTTAGGGTTTAGGGTTCAGGTTCAGGGTTTAGGGTCTAGGGTTCAGGGTTTAGGGTTTAGGGTTTAGGGCTAGGGCTTAGGGTTTAAGGCCTCGGCCTATTAGGGGTTAGGGTTTAGGTTGTTTAGGCGCCCCAAAGTTCAGGGCTAAGCTCTATGCCTCGGGGTATAGAGCTTAGCGGGGTAGGGGTGCCCCCCACAAAGGTGCTTTTTCGTTGTAAAACGAGCCGAGAACCACAATGTGAGACACACGGAAACTTGGGTTGCAGCACTTTTGCGAGCTAGAAGTCAATCCAGCCGACTCGCGACCATTTGGTTTCCACTGCTTAACCTGTACAAATCAAAATCCAGACGTCATCAAGTCGACCCCCCAGGATAAAAAGTGCATGACAAATCAGATACAACCCTGAACCCCTAACACCCTAACACACTTCAAGCCCTCAACCCAGCCTCAACCCCAAATCCTAAACCCCAAACACCCTAAACCCTGGAACCCTAAACCACCAGAATCCAAAACCCTCGAATCCAACACCCCTAGTTGGAGGCTCATGGGTATGAGCCCCCTAAGTCCTTTAAGTAGGTTATCCGGACCTTGATAATTGGGGTCAGAAGTACCCGTGAACCTTTAAACCCTCAACCCTCAACCCTACACCCTCAGCCCCTGCAAGCCCTGAGGTCCCTAAACCCTAAGCCCTAAGCCCTAAGCCCTAAGCCCTAAGCCCTAAGCCCTAAGCCCTAAGCCCTAAGCCCTAAGCCCTAAGCCCTAAGCCCTAAACCCTAAACCCTAAACCCTAAACCCTTAACCCTAAACCCTAAACCCTTAACCCTAAACCCTAAACCCTAAACGCGAAACCCTAAACCCTAAACCCTAAACCCCTGCAAGCCCTCAGGTCAGCTCAGAGGCCCACCTAGCGGCTGGCAGGGGCCCCGGCCAACACGTTTGTTTTGGCGGCCGTGCGGCTTCTGATTTTTGGGGGTTTAGGGTTTAGGGTTTGGGGTGTAGGGTTTAGGGTTTAGGATTTAGGATTTAATTTAGGATTTAGGGTTTAGGGTTTAGGGTGTTTGGGATGCAAGGGACTTGCCAAAAGGGCTGTGCCACTGATTGGAGCAACTCGCCAAAAATAGTGTTTCTGGCCCATGAGCAGATTTGCAACGCTGGGATGGAGCCTGCAAAGGATTCGGTAACCTCAAACCCTAATCCTGAACCCTAAACCCTAGGCACAAACCCTAAACCCGAAACCCTAAACCCTAAACGAACCCGCAAGAGCGCTCGAGCCTTTCCCACAAAATTGAATATACTCCTACTACCGCCCTCATACTACCTTGAGGATCTTTAAACCCTAAACCCTAAACCCCAAAAAAAGGGTCCCCATCAGAGCCGGACCATTCAATCTGCAAAGCCTTTCGTCCCTTGGGTGTGCGGGCTCTCCGGCTCGAAGGTCTTAAAAGGGTACGTATTAGTCTTACAGAGTCTGCGGCCAGAGGGTTTACGGTTTAGGGTTTAGAGGCATAGTAGGGTTCAGAGGATTTTAAGGTTTAGGGTTTCAACGTGGGCTTTGGGGTTTTAGGGTTACAGGCCCAAGGGCTTTTGGATTCCAGAGTCCTGAACTTACTCGCCTTGAAGCATCCTCACTTGGTTTAGGATGGGCAACGCCCCCGCGCCGTGGCCGGCGCATCCTGGCCCGCCCCCTGCTGGGTACCCGACGCCTTGGCCGCATGAAGTTTCTGGAGCAGTTCTTGAATTTTCGGAGTCTGCAGGGCTTACGGGTATGAATTAATTACGGCTGATAAGCAAGGCATACTGGGTACCAACTTGGAATATCTTCTCACTGCATCCTTCTTTCGTAGGACAGTGCATGCTGTATCCAAAAGAGGCATAAGCCCTGCTTTCACAAACCTGCAATCTTACCACTGACGCCAGAGCCCGCCTGATGGAGATGATTTTCACAGACCGGATAGCACCAAAAATGTCGATACACTGTGTAGTAGAGAATACGGATAAACAAAGACAGGAACAGATTCCGGCTTGCCCAAAGCGGCCCAAGCGGTTGTACATGAAAAGCCGGACGAGATCGCAGAACCCATCAACTGATCGTACAATGCGTTGAGAGAGAATAAGGAGGCATGCAGGGCTTGATGATCAAATTGGGTTCGTAGCCGACACTTCCGCAAAATACACGTCAACGGTCATTGCTAATTGTTTGGGTTTGGAGGGTCTACAGGGCTTATATAGGTTTCGCGCCAAAGCAAAAAGGGCCAAACCCCAAACCCTAAACCCCGAACCCCAAACCCTAAACCCCAAACCCCAAACCCCAAACCCTAAACCCTAAACCCTAAACCCTAAACCCTAAACCCTAAACCCTAAACTCCGAACCTGCGCCTCGCACTGAGAGGCCTCGGCCCCCAGAGTCTTGGCGGGGTCCCTACATAGCTGGGCCTGGGCCCGAGAGGGACACAAGGCTGTTGGAGGGGTGTTGGGTTTAGGGTTTAGGGTTTAGGGGTTTAGGGTTTTGGGGTTTTGGGGTTTTGGGGTTTAGGGGTTTAGGGTTTAGGGTTTAGAGTTTAGGGTTTAGGGTTTAGGGTTTACGCAGGGTTTTTGGGTTTTTGGGTTTTTGGGTTTTGGGTTTTAGGGTTTTTTGGGTTTTAGGGTTTTAGGGTTTTTGGGTTTTTGGATTTTTGGATTTTAGGGCTTTAGGGCTTTAGGGCTTTAGGGAATCTCCTGCATTCCTCCCGTGCGCGATCCTTGTTCGAGATGGCTGCAGTCATCCAGCTAGGTAGGCCCCCTTGCCTGGGATATTTTGCAACTTCCCCTTAAATTTATTGGTCATTCAGGAGTATTTTTGAGATGGTTTTGAGGGCCATCTTCAGTTTACACTAGGGTTGGGGACGCACACGTCTGGCACAAGGCCACCACCCTCGCAACCGCCGCCGCAGCCACGCAAAGGCCTGTCGGATGGAAAGTGAAGCTCGGGCTTCGGGTCATCCCGGTTCAAAAGTATTCGAAACTCCAAGCCCTAAACCCTGAGTAAATTACTAAACCCTAAACCCTAAACCCTAAACCCTAAACCCTAAACCCTAAACCCTAAACCCCTGGTCCCTCGTCCCGACTCCCCAACCCCCCAACTCATCTTGACTCCAGAAGCTGCACCTTGCCCTTACCACCGGCCATGCTTCCCTCTCAGTGAGGGCTTCAGACCCCTGAGCTGGAACTCCTAGGGTTTAGGGTTTAGGGTTTAGGGTTTGGGGTTTAGGGTTTAGGGTTTGGGGTTTGGGGTTTAGGGTTTAGGGTTTGGGGTTTAGGGTTTAGGGTTTGGGGTTTGGGGTTTAGGGTTTAGGGTTTAGGGCTACTAGGACCCGGAGTCGGCCCCCTTGTTCCCCTTTTTTTAGGGTTTGGCTTCCCGCCTAAGCCCCTGCAAACCAAAAAGGGCACCCTGTCATTCCTAGGTTACTCTTGGGTCGGGTTTAGGGTTTAGGGTTTAGGGTTTAGGGTTTAGGGTTTAGGGTTTAGGGTTTAGGGTTTTAGGTTTTTGGAGTCCCCAGACTGCAAAACTCTCTGGGTTCCTCCGACAAAGCGTCCGACACAACTTTGAAACGTGAAAGGCGCAGAGAGAAGAGGGAGAGGTTTAGCGGTTTAGCGGAACATGACGGCCAGTTTTCAAGTTGGGACTTCTCCTCTGGATGCCTAAACTCTGAACCCTAAACCCTAATTCCTAAATGGACAAGCAAGGGGTGGTGGGACACGGGGTAGACGGACGCAGCCGGTCCGGCTGTCTAGCAGCTCTAGCAGCTTCCTGTTCCGCTGATCCCCTTAGCCCTGCCTGCCTACCAGTACCTTTTGTTGGTTGGTTAACATTGGGATGCTCCCCCTTATTCTAACAGTCCTTGAAAGGGATTGTAGTCGGGTACTATAGTCCCTATTCAGGACTGTCAGTACAAGGGGGAACGTCCAAAGGTTAACATGTTGTTGCATTTCCCTGTTTCGGCGTTTGGCTTTACCAGGTCAGCGGCTTGAGCGGAACGAGGGCGGCGGTGTGAGCATCGTTGTGATGCAGGCCACTCTGTTCTGGGCACATGGCGTGGTTTTACTGCAGGAGCCACAATAGTTATCAGCTCCAGCCCCCTCATCACGCCTGCAGGTTTCGGTCTGCAAGTAGGCCATTCATGCCCCTAAACCCTAAACCCTAAACCCTAAACCCTAAACCCTAAACCCTAAACCCATGTACAGAGCTCTTACTTGTAAGTGGCCGGGAAGCATTGCACGGAGTACGACCTTGCTGCAGCTAAGCCTGCCCTTAACCCCTTACCTCCGTGACGCCCCTACTGCCCAAACCGAACCCGAAGCCGAACCTGAAACAATGAACCATCCTACCTGGGGCCCTTTTTACCTACAGTTTCATGGAATTAGGGCCCCAGGTATGCCCTAAGCCCCCAACGCCTGAAGCCCACGAGTGTTTCGCGCAGGTGCCGCCCACCGTCAACAAAATGGACGTGCTCAACGAGTATTTTGGCCGGTTCGGGCGGGGAGCCTAGGCACCAACGCTGAGTGGGTAGAGTGTGGGATTTTGGGTGTGGGGGTTAGGGCGTAGGCCTTGGTGATTTTGGGCATGGAGTCGTTGTAACACCCTGTGTGCCCCCAGATGCTAGGCCCAAGAAGCTCGTTGGGGGAAGGGGGGGGGGGGAGGGGCTTGCAGACACAGAGAGAGACGAACAGCAAGGCCTTTTCAGGCGGTCCAGCAAAGTGGGACCCTGGACGACCAGTGCTAGCATCAGTTGGTCACGCCGGCGCCAGTTGAGGCCGGTGTCTTCTCTACAGATCAACCAGGTGCGGCACGAGGCCACACCTGGGGTTGAGGGTTTAGGGTTTAGGGTTTGGGGTTTAGGGTTCAGACAGTTGTGATGCCAATCTTGTGGAATCAGCACCCCCCGAACTGGCTTGGTAAAAGGTCTTCAGGGTCGCCTTACTCCTCTCTGAGTTTCGCGGAGTCAGAGTGCCTTCGTCTGCTCCTGGAACTCACTTGAGGGTTGGCTGCGGGTGCAGACAGGCAACCAAGGGACGGGAAGGAAGTGAAGCCAGCGGCAAAGGAAACTAAGTACGCACGGCGCGAACCCAAGCATTGGTCCCTCACCCCCGCACGCCACGGATGACTCGCTGTGTTTAGTATTGGAATAGGAGGAATTTCGAACGAGGGGCTGATACATGCTGGTCTGAACAGCACTGGCCTTCGATATGTCCGACGCCTAAGCCCTAAGCCCACCGCCGTAGATTCGAAAGCAGGGCCTGAATTGAGCCAAAGCCCAGGCTCGGAAGAAAGCTGAACCCATTAAAAGCACCTTCAAATAAGGCCCGGAGATTGAAAGGACCTCTGAAGGTGCCTCCCCACTCCCTTGGGGCAGACTCTGTCGATGATTAGGGATTCGGGCTTAGGGCTGGGGCTTCAAGTTTGGGGTTTTCAAGGCCTCATGCCTCAAGTCGAACATCGTCGTCGCTCGCAGGCCATCGTGACCTTTAGCCGAATGGAAGATGCAGAGGAGGCTGGCGAACGCTGATGGGTCTGTCCACTACTGGCAGGTTATGAGGGCACTCGTCATGAACTAACCTCCCCCCCGCCTCCTCCCCTCAAGGTCGGCTTGTCTTTGCGTTTGCTGAGGATGCGGCTGGGGTTGGCAGACCGACCTTGCATGCATCTTGAGATTGGGTGCGGCAAATATGAACGATCGTCGCCTCAAGATGAATCTTTCCTTTCCGCCACAACAGGAAGCAAGTGCGAGCCCTGAATTGAGCCTTCCTAAACACCTACGTAGCCCTTGCCCTGACCCCAAACGAGGGGATCGCAGACCTTGTTAACACCAAGGAAGGCAGGAATGTGCTGACCTCAAACCCCCCTCTGTTGAAAAGGGATCATTCTCCGATGATCATCGGCGCCTTCAAAAGCAAGATTTCAGGGTTTAGGGGGTTATCGGCAGAACTCCCGCCTTGCGAGGTTTGATTTGGGGTTACGGGTCAAATTCCTGGGCATTGTCTCCGTCCGCAAGACTGACATCTTAATTCCACCCCACCTCCTAAACCCCAACTCCCCAAAACCCTGAACCCTAAACGTTATCAACCCAACCACTAAACTCAACTCCAACCCTGAACCCTCAGCCCCACAGCTCTAAACGCTGTGAACCTCAACCCTCAACTCCCTGTGAACTCCAGTGCAGCGGACCAGGCCATGAGGTTTCCCGTGCTCAACGATCCAAGCATAGGCGCGCACCGGGCGGGGGCTGGCGCGGCGGGGGCTCGAGGGTTGAGCCTTGAGGGTTTGGGGTTCTCGGATGCGGTTCAGGGTTTTAGGGTTTAGGGTTTAAGGGTTTGGGGTTTAGGGTTTCGGGCTTAGGTTTATCTGCAGGATCCCCACTAGGAGGGCTGGGAATGCTGAGCTCTTTGGGGTTACTTTCTCCGGGACTCGATATCTACTCCCAGTTTATACAAACCTTAGAATGACATTGATTCTGAAAAATCTGAAAACCCGACAACCGCCAGGCGTACTTCAGGCCTTCTATTTTTTTATGAGTCCTAATCATGGCAGCCCCAGTGGTGAACGCCAAGAAAGGTGCCCTTTTAAACCCGAAACCCCAAGCCCCAAACCCTAAACCCTAAGGCCTAAACCCGAAACCCGAAACCCTAAACCCCAGCAACCCCCCAAACCCCCAAGGCCCCCCCAACAGAAAGCTCGCGGCAAGCGAGGCTTGAGACCGTGGCGGGGCAAGGCGCGGCCCTCGGAGGCTTCAAGCCACCGGAGCGCGCAGCATCCCTTATTGAAGGAAGTTTAGGGTTTAGGGTTTAGGGTTTAGGGTTTAGGGTTTAGGGTTTAGGGTTTAGGGTTTAGGGTTTAGGGTTTAGGGTTTAGGGTTTAGGGCCTCAATCAAGCCCTTAAGGAAGCATGAACCCCTGAATGAAGCAAGTTCGGCGGTGGAGAGTTTCAGGGTTTCAGAAGGGTTCTCTAGTGCAATTCCATCATGTCCTAGGCCTAGGGCCCCGAACCCAGACGCCAAACTGCCGGATATAGTTCTGAGGCCTTTCTTGGGTTCCCTGCACAAGACATAGAAATTCTATGCCACAGTAGAACCGAAAGATTTCCAAGCCCAACAGGGAAACCAAACATCGAGGACAGTTTCAGGCGTTACAAGGAAGGGCTTTTGAATAAGCCCATACTCTTCATAGTAGAAGACTTACATAAGAGACCCCTCAGAGCTTCGTGGCTCAAGCCAATTTCGCTATAGCCCGAAACGCCCCAAAACCTCCATCAACTAAGGCAGGCCAGCGGGCACCGGACGATGTCCCAGCTGAGGCCCCCGATGCCACCCTCACTTGGCAACTTGAGAAAACACCTAATGCAAGTCTCCGCATTATGAGAGGAACCTCAGATCATGTAGAGACTTCCCCCGATGTGCTAAACCCTGATCGCTGGGCCTGAACACGCCTTTCATGCTGGAGAATCCACTGACCTGGAGTTCGAAGAAGAGAAACTGAGACCACTTTGAGGCACTTTGGACATGCAACCTCCTAGTCCCATGCTTCATAGGGTGTCATAGGGTCTCCAGCGAGATTGTCGTCCAACATTGTTCCGTATTTCTTGAAAATTTAGGTCCTAGTGTCTTGGGCATTGGGGACCCCTCTGAATCCAGCGCGCAGGTGTCTCCCACCATTGCAGCTTGGCGGAACCAGAGCTTCTGAGTTTCTGAGGGTTTAGGGTTTAGGGTTTAGGGTTTAGGGTTTAGGGTTTAGGGTTTTGGGCTTAGGGCTTTAGGGCTTCAGGGCATCGAAGGTTCGACGCGGGGCGTTTGCCACACACACTGCGCTGGCATGAGTTTGGTGGAGTTCTCACCGAGGTCAACACACCGGTGGTGCCCAGCGGATGCCTCGGAAGAAAGCTTGCATTTGGGTTTAGGAATGTTTAGGTGTTCGGGTTTAGGGATTGCAAATGGGCGGGGGTGGGGGGGGGGGTCACCAAACTAGGGGTTTGTTTTGGAGATAGTACAATTGCACCCTTGGTAGGGTAAGATATGACTACACCTTGCAGAGGGGAGCGTGAGCTTGCTTTGTTCAGGTTGTGGCGAGCTGCAAGTGTGCGAGCGCGTGCGTGTTTACGGCTCCAGGTCCTAGCCGTTGAGGAAAATCTCAATTTTCATCCTTGTTTGCGCCAAATTCGCCATGCTCACCATCTTCGTCCTTTCTATGCTGGCGGCTTGCTCCGCAATCCGGGATGACACGCGGCGGGCCAGCACAGACGTGGTGCAGGCGCTGTCAACTAATGATAGATTGTGGTAGATATCTGCATAAACAGTCGGTGATATTGACAATAAGGCCGGAAAGTGTCATACCAATGGTCGGAACAATAACTGTATTGCCACCAAAACACCCACACCCACCACCACCACCACCACCATCACCACCATCACCGTTATCGTCATCACCATTACCATCATCGTCAGCGTCATCATAGTCACAGTCATCGTCGTCATCATCATCATCATGATCATCATCATCATTGTCATCCTCGTCATCAATCATCGCCTTCACACTCGTCCTCATCCTCTTTATCATCATCAACCACCTTCACAAACATGGCCATCATCATTACCTTCATCATCATCAACATCATCATAATGTTCGTCATGATCTTGGTCATTGTCATATTCATTGTCATTGGCATCATCATCATCATCATCAAATTCTTCATCCTCTCCACCATCACCATCACCATGGCCAGCGCCGTCGTCATAGTCAAATGTCGTCACAAGTCGTCATCTTCATGCTCAGCATGGCCAACATCAGCATCTATCATCGTCACCACCCTCGTCTTCATCATCGACAGCATCATCGCCTTAGTTATGCTGCCAGGATTGCTCCCAGGAACCAAACAGTGCCAATCAGTTTTGATATTAGGAAAAGTAAAACTGATGCTTGGGGGACATCCCCCACCTGAGAAATTCAGCCCCAAACCCGCAACCCTAAACCCTAAATCCTAAACCCGCAACCCTAAACCCTAAACTCTAAACCCTAAACCTTAAACCCTAAACCCGAAACCCTGAACAAAGCAAATGTGCATCTCGGAGGCTGACCTGGACTCCATGAATGCCGGGAGGCCACAGGGAGATCTTGTGGACAAGAGCATCTCGGGATTTGCGCCTAGGTATGCCCCTTGAGACATTTATACTTGCCCTCATATATATATATATACATATATGGTTTAAGAGCATCTTAGTTTTGGTGTTGCATTTTCCCATTGGGTTTAGGAGGACCATAGTCAGAATATATTTTCAGAGGCTTTTGGGGGCCATCCTAGGCGCTGGAGGCGATCAAGACCATGAAACGGTCCATCCCGGCATGCTATCGTGACAGCAAGAAAGAGATGGCCGCGTGCATTAAGGACCAGCTGAAGTATTTCGGGCTGCACCATGTGATGGTTGCCGACGCAGGTCATGTAGGGATCTCTCTGGGGTCGGCGAGCGTCGCCTACTTCAAGTGGGGCGAGATCGCGATTATCATCCTCCGCGGCGCGTGATGCAGATATCCGGTCTAGGATCCGGAGTAGGCCGCTATTTCCTTCCCCTCAGAATCCCCTTAAAACCAAAAAGGTACCCTTGTGATTCCTAGGCTACTCCTGGGTCTAGTGGTTCACTGCTGACTTGCAGCCGATGGCCGAGGTGAAAAGACTGTGACATGCGGGTTTAGGGTTTAGGGTTTAGGGTTTAGGGTTTAGGGTCGAGGGTCTAGGGTTTAGGGTTTAGGGTCACTGGGTGTTAATGCGACCCCCTCATACAGGCTGCAGTGGTTTGTGGAATCGTATTTTACGCCTAAAGCTTAGAAGGCCTACTCATAAAGTCACAAAGGCTTTGGAGTAGTAGCGCTAAACACAAATACCCCCCCCCCATTTACTAAAATATAGCTATACTGGGGGATTTAATACCATGCTAATTAGGTAGGCCCTTTGGAGACTGCATATTTCCCTTATTGGCAAAGAGTATTCCGTTTTTTCTTCATTTTTTTTTTAGGGGGGGGGGGGGCTTCTTCAGCAAATAGAAGGTTAGGGGAGCAAGTGCCGGGGCATTGCACACGGCAGTCCACCTGCTCGTCCTTTTTCTAGCAGTGCAGTCTCGCGAGAAGCTCAGAGCGTAAAAACCTTCAGCATCCCTAAACCCTAAACCCCAACACCCCGAACCCCAAGATTAAACCCCAAACCCCAAAGCCTAAACCCTAAACCCTAAACCCTAAACCCTAAACCCTAAACCCTAAACCCTAAACCCTAAACCCTAAGCCCTAAGCCCTAAACCCTAAACCCTAAACCCTAAACCTCCCAGGTATACCCATCATCGCCAGCGGCAACATGACCCTGGAGCCGGGCTTCCCATCCGACGCCCTGAACCCCCAAGCTACGATTTGCTTAAGAAGCCCAAAAGAATGAAAAAAAAAACAAAGCCCTATACTATATTGTATCAATGGAATTTTGTTACTTTGCTTAAGAAGCCCAAAAGAATGAAAAAAAAACAAAGCCCTATACTATATTGTGTCAATGGACTTTTTGTTACTTTGCTTAAGAAGCTCAAAAGAATGAACAAAAATGATCCCTATGTTACCCTTAATAGGGAAGAATGTTCTTATTCTTTCAAAAATAATCCCTATATTATATTATCCTTAATAAGGAAGAATATTGTTATTTCTTCGGGGTTCTTGAGCAAACAGAAGAAAGGGTCAACACGGCCCAAGAAGCTGTCATGGGATTCTGCCTCTAAGTTGCTTCTGTGGCAGGGGAATCGGTGGATGCAGAGAGAGCACTTGCTTTTTTCAAGCCCCAAGCGTCCCCTAACCCCAAAGCCTAAAAGCCCGTGCAGTAGACCCTAAACCCCGAAACCTCAAAGCACAACCCCCCCCAAAACCCCCCCCCCCCAACCCCCGCCCCAAACCCTCCCCAAACCCCCCTAAAATCCACCCAACCCCCCCCCCCCCCCCACCCCAAACAAAAAAAAATCACCCCAACCCCCCCCCCAAAACCCCCTGACTGCCGGCCAAGGTCCAGCCGAGTGCTGGAAGCCAAAAGAAAACGAGAGGAGCTGCAGGCGCAACACGTGGAGGAATGTTCAATGGCTTACCCAACAGCTCCTTTAGGGTTCAGGGTTAGGGGTTGAGGGTTGAGGGTTGAGGGTTGAGGGTTGAGGGTTGAGGGTTGAGGGTTGAGGGTTGAGGGTTGAGGGTTGAGGGTTGAGGGTTGAGGGTTGAGGGTTGAGGTTGAGGGTTGAGGGTTTAGGGTAGTATATTTTTAGGGCAGTGTACTAGACTCCCCATAGCTAACCCAAACAGGGACGACATTGGAGCCTTCAGGGTGTAGGGGCTTTGGGGTTTGGAGTCTCGGGTTTAGGGGTTTTGGTGTTCAATGTCTCAGGTGTAGGCGCTTTGGGGCTTTGAGTCTTGTCTTGGGATTTAGGGGTTTAGGGGTTAGGGGGTTTGTATAGAAACAATCAGAAGAACAAGAGTAGTACTACTCAAAACAGTCATCATGTAGCCCTCCTGCCCTACAGAAACCACAGCGTGCTATGGGCTTCTTGAGGGAGGCGGGTTCAGGGGGGTATGTAACCCCAGGTGCCCTAATACTCCGCACTACGTTCTCCCTACGTTCTCCCTAAGCTTCCCTAAGGTTTTGAGGTACCCACCCCCCCATGAACCCCCCGCCCTTAAGGACCCCTACAAACGTTTCCAGGATCGCCGGAAGGCTTTGCTGTCTAGCCTCACGGATCAGCTGAAGGCCGTGCTGGCTAGGACACCGGGGTCCTCATGGGAGGATCCGGAGTAGCCCCTTATTCCCTTCGTTGAGGGTGCAGGGGTCCTTAGAAGCCCCCTTTAAACCCAAAAGGGCACCCTGCTCGTTCCTGGGCTGCTCTTGGGTCTATGCCCCGAGCCCGAAACACACATCCCCAAGTGGATGCAGAGCACCGCGGTGTTTTTGGAACCCTAGACCCTAAACCCTAAACCCCAAACCCCAAACCCTAAACCCTAAACCCTAAACCCTAAGCCGAAAGCCCGAAATCCAGAAAGCCTGAAAGCCCCAACGCTCGCCGCAGGATCAGCGACCCGTCCACCTCGGAGCGAAACAGAGAGCAGCTCCAGGCTCCCAAACAAGGGATAAAGGCTCGTGGTTTAGGGTTTAGGGTTTAGGGTTTAGGGTTTAGGTTTTAGTGTTTAGGGTTTAGGGTACCCCTTCTACTACCTGAAGGAGCCGTAGAAAGCCCTTGGATAGGGCTTCGAGGGGTTTGTGCTGCTTAGGACTTACATGGAGGGTTTCGGGGTTTTTGTGGGTTTTCGCAGAGTCACCTTCATGTCAGCACCCGCGCAGAAAGTTGTGCAGGCCTTGTGGGCGTCGCGAGCCCGTAAACCCTATAGGATCTTCAGAACTACATTGAGCCATGTAAACTTGAAGATGCAGGCCTGTCTGAGCAAGTCCCCTTATGCCACTAAACTCAGACCATTTTGGCGAATATCAAAGACAAGATCAATGCGCTCACCCCGCCGCAGAAGGAGCAGGCCCGATACAGCTGGTCAGGGTTTTAGGTGCAGGCTTAGGGGCCAAGGGTTTACGTGACGTCAGGGGCTTGCTTGTTTGTTGTTTGCTTCCTCTTAATTGCCTTCGTGTTATTTCAATCTGGTAAAAATTTAGAGTTTAGGGTTAGTGAGGGATCATTCGGATGATCGCCGGCTTCAAACAGGATTGAAGTGCCTTCTGTGACAGTCGAGTTAAACCCTAAACCCTGAGCCCTACCAGGTAAGCTCTAAGCCCCAAAACGAATGCGTATCCATAAGACCAGGGCTCCCTGTGTCCCCCCTGGGAAAGAAGCCCCCTAAACCCTAAACCCTAAACCCGAAACCCTAAACCCTAAACCCTAAACCCTGAGGAGTTAGCCAAACGGCGGCTGATGCCTCCAGCGCGGCCCATGGCGCCCTACCAGGCATCCCAGGGAACTTTCGCGAGCTTCGGGCTTAGGGCAGCATTGTTGCACCCGGTGTATATCTGAACCCTAAACCCTAAACCCTAAACCCCAAAAAACCCGAAACCCTAAACCCTAAACCCTAAACCCTGAACCCTAAACCCTAAACCCTAAACCCGGGAAACTCCCTTAAGGCGCCATTTTGGGTCGTAAACCCAAGGTGTGGCGCCCCACACCCTACTAGAACCTCACTGAGCCCTAAATCCTCAAAACTCTCGAAACCCTTCGAAAGCCACTCCTCCTTCTTCTCGGATGCAGACGAAGTTGGACAACCGCCCGAGACCTGCGCTCTTGCATTTGTCCAAGCTCCCCGCCGGGGACCTCGGAGGCTTGAGCCTTTAGAGGGCTTATGGGAACTTTACCGGGTTTACTAGGAGATTGAGGAGGTTTTTTGTTGTAGGGCGTTGCTCTTCTGGGCTCTCATTGAGGAGCTTAGGCAAGCTTTGAAGCATACCAAGGGAACCCCTGAGGGCTGCAATGATAGTATTCCAAGATAACTAAAGAAATAATGTAGGGCTTATATTGGTTTATAAGGTTTAGGGCTTCTGTGTCTTGATCTGAGGGCGGCTGGACGGGTTTTGCGCAGTCCCCGGAGGTTTGGGGTTTGGTTTGTCACCCCCCCCCCCCCCACAAATCTCAAGCCCGAGTCCGCGCGAGAAGATCTAAAATGTGCTATAAGACTGCAATCCAATAGGCATAGAGCAGCCTTATGCTATAATGCTAGAAGCATATAGTACTACAGAAGTATTTAGCCCGCGCCACTTGAACCCTCAACCCTAAACACTGAACCCTGAACCCTAAGCCCTAAACACGGAACCCTGAACCCTAAACCCTAAACCCTAAACCCTAAACCGTCAAGGCAGAGATGCAGGGTCCTGACGGGGAGGCGCGACGGGTCGAGTGGCAGGCTTTTCACGGCGATGCTCTCTTCGCTTCGCCATGCGCCCGAAGGGTTTAGGGTTTAGGGTTTATAGGGTTTAGGGTTTATATAGGGTTTAGGGTTTATAGGGTTTAGGGTTTATATAGGGTTTAGGGTTTATGGGGTTTAGGGTTTATAGGGTTTAGGGTTTCGGGTTTCGGGTTCAGGGTTTAGGGTTCAGGGTTTAGGGCCACTTCCTCCCTTTAAAATACGGTCATGGCGGTAGAGCAATACAAGTGCAGAAGATGAAATGTATAAATGTATTGCTACAACAATACAAGGGTTTCATAGTATAAAATGACAACAGATTAATGCAGCAATCGGACCCATAGGGGTGCACCTTGTGGCTCAGCCTCATAGCTGTCGAGACTGTAGACACCTATTGCTGTGCACCGACCGTTTCGTCGTTTATTTGGTTGGCGACATGAGCTTATGCGACGCTATTGCTGTATGTTAGTGAACTGTTTCAATCAGTTTTGTATATTAGATTGGATGATATGATATGATTATACTATTAAGTTCATGGTGTTCTTATGCTACACTACGATACTGTCATGGTTTGTTGTAGTCCGAGTTTAGGAAGCTAGGTGATCCTTCTGCGTTTTGGGGCGCGCTGTCAACGGCGCCAGTCTTCAGTTTGCTAAAAGGAAGCCAAAGAATTCCTAATCAACACGTACAGGCCGATTTGTTAAGGGTGTACATGGCGGTTCATGGGAACTTAGAACCCCATTAGAAGTCTACGTATGACCTATCTGACAGGACTTAGGGGGTTTGTAAGTACAGTTAGTGGGCTTGTAAGTACCGAACCTCCAAGTAGGTGTTTAGGTTTAAGGTCAACCCTGAAATCCTAAACCCTAAGCCTTAATCCCTGAAGCCTGAACCCTGAACCCCAAACCCTAAACTTCAAACCTTAAACCCTAATCATCCCTGAAGCCTACACCCTGAAGCATGAACCCTGAACCCCAAACCCTAAACTGCAAACCTGAAACCCTAAGCCCTAAACCCTGAACCTTAAACCCTAAGCCCTAAACCCTAAACTGGCCCTAAACCCTAAACCCTAACCCCTAACCCCTAAACCCTAAACCACTGTCTGGAGGCGCAGTTGCGGGATGCTCTGGGCGAGAGCGTCGAATGGATCCGGGATTGGTCCGACGACGGAAGTCGACGTCTCAGCGCGCAGACCCGATTCTCAGGGTTTGGGGTTTAGGGTTTGGGGTTTAGGGTTTAGGGTTTAGGGTTAGGGTTTAGGATTTAGGGTTTAGGGTACCCGATTCTTGGGGCTGAAATTCGGGGTGCCTTATCTTGGTAGGCCCTTGGGACATTTTACATTTCCCTTACTGGGTGTAATAGGATTTCAGATGGTTCTTTAAGGGCCATCCTAGTTCCTAGTTATTGTTGTCCTTATTTTAAAGGACTCCTACTATTTTGGGGGTGTATATTCGGGATCCCTTATTTTCGGAAAGCACCATCTGAAGGGTTGGAAGGTCTTGTCCTTTCAGCCCCTTCGCATCGGATGGAAGGAAGTGCCTCTCCTGGGTTGAGGGTTTAAGGTTTTGACAAGGGTAGTTTAGGGTTGGGGGTTGAGGGTCTCTAGCTCAAAACCCCAAACCCCAAACCCCAAACCCCAAACCCTAAACCCTAAACCCTAAACCCTAAACCCTAAACCCTAAACCCTAAAATGTCCCATGAAGCCTTGGATCCCGGAGGCAGCTGCACCGTCCGGTTTCGGGATCGACGGCAAGCGGAGGCTGGATTCTGACAGGAAGCCTTGATTGGCCTCCAGAGTTCAGGGTTTAGGGTTTAGGGTTTAGGGTTTAGGGTTTAGGGTTTAGCGTTTAGGGTTTAGGGCTTAGGGTTTAGGGTTTAGGGTTTAGGGTTTAGGGTTAGGGATTAGGGCTTAGGGTTTAGAGCATGGGGGATTGCTACTTGTCCATGGGCTGGAGCACGGGAGTTGCCAACAAATGGCACGCCCTCAGAAATGGTGAGCAGTTGAGGATGCTGTTTGGGTTCCTGGATGTTGGTTTAGGGTTTAGGGTTTAAATTATCGTTGGGAGTTTATGGTTCAGGGTTTAGGGTTTAGCTAGGGTTAGCCGCTTCGTGGGATGTTGGTGTCCAGCTGCTAGGGTGCTGTACTGGAAAGCGGAAGCCCTGACACCTTAAACCCACAACGTCCCAACTCCATCCCCTAAGCCCTAAGCCCTAAGCCCTAAACCCTAAACCCGAAACCCTAAACCCTAAACCCTATGACTTAAGTAGCAGGTAAATTGCGCCCTGACGTGCCCAGGACCTCAGCCCAAACACTAAAATCTCAGGGTGGCTGAATCCGCAGACGCTAAAGTCCTTTGAGGATCATTGTCGGGCGTGGCTGTAGCAGGTGTATAGGAGGTATACAGGTAAACATAAAGATATTGAGTACATGTGTACATATATATATATATAGATATTTGATTGTTTATTGTATCATGAAGGATAGAGGGAGAGAGAGAGGAGGGGGAAACATATTAGAAGAAGGAAGAAGAAGAAAGACATACCCCTGAAAGAAAGAAAGGTCATACCGGAGACAGAGAGAGAGAGAGAGAGAGAGAGAGAGAGAGAGAGGAGAGAGAAGAGAGAGCAGAGAGGGCAGAGAGGGCAGAGAGAGCAGAGAGAGCATGGAGGAGAGTGAGAGAGCGACATCCACTATGTCTTATGATGCAGAGTGAACCCCGAGCCCTGCACAAAGCCTTCCACCTCTGTGCCCTGAGCAGAGGCGGCAGTGCAGGCGCAGAAAATCTGGGGCTACGTTGCCAGAATCCAGGAGATATGTGCTTCATGAGGGTTTTCGCGATTTCAGATTTCTTGGGGCCAGGGTTTAGGGTTTAGGTTCCACGCAAGGTGTACATCAACGTGTTGATTGGCTCATTCTCTTCTGACGAGAGCCCATCAGGTACCCGAAGCGCTGGATCTCGAACGCCTAAGCCCGAAACTCTAGATCCCAACAAGTCTCTTCTTTTAGGCGTCTTTTGAGTCTTGCCAGGGCTTCGTGACGGCTTCAGAGCGCGGGCTTTGAGGGCTTCGCTCGGCTTCCGTCAGAGTTAAACCCTAAACCCGAAACCCTAAACCCTAAACCCTTTTGGAGTTGAGCGTTTTGGGTTTAGGATTTAGGCTGCTGCGCAGGAGGATTTGCCACCGCAGGCCTTGGATGCTGCGTGTTTGATACTTGGTAGCCCAGGTAATATAGGGGTCGGATCAACTATATCCCCCCCCCAAGAATTGTTTTTTTAACTTTTTTATATAAAACCCAAGAGGATATTAAAAATGATATTTATATTAAGGTTCTAAGGGGAGTATAGGGGCAATACAAGTCGTATTCAGGACCTTAGGGTTCCTGTATAATTCTACCCTCTTAGGGTTCCTTAATACTCATAACCCCCCCCCCCCTCCCCCGCAAAAAAAAAAATCAAAAACACCCTATTCCGATTGTGAAGGCCCCTATGTATGAGCCCTTTTGCCCGTTTCAGGGTTCCAGGTTCCCTTCTTTGTCTAAAGTAGCCAACCCCAAGAAGGGTACCCTTATCAGAAATATGGTTACTGGGCTACCAAGTGAAGGCCAAGCTACGGAGCTGCATGTCTGTTTGCTTTGCAGTCGTGAGCAAAAGCTTCGCGACGACAGTTAGGGTATCTTGTTGCAGCAGTATCTCAAGGGACTCCAGGAGGAGGAACCCCGAAAAGAGACCTTAGGGCTTATTGAGGGCTTATTTGGGGGGCCTCCTTCTACCCCTCAAGCTTCAGAACCTTTGTGAGAACCAGCTGTAGCCCGGCCTTTCCCCCAACCGGCGTACTTCCGTTCTGCAATCGGGTGTTGTCACTTGACACCCCAAGCCCTAAAACCCATGAGCCCCATAATCCCTAAACCTTGCAAGACTCATCAATCCTCAACCCTACAAGCCTAGAAGCAACCCTTTGCAGCACACCAGGGTCGCGACCCGCTGTCCCCAAGACCCTGATCCTTGAAACCCTCAACCCTTCTTGTCGACTCTCTGGTTGGTTACAGAGTCCCTCAGAGCCTTGAGCGTTTCCGGTCTCACCCTGAAGCCTTAAGCCCTCCGCCCCCGAAACCGCAGGCACCACATCCCTACCGGCGGAAGGCGCAAGCTCCTAGATTTCAGCCGCGGCACATGCACAAGGCAGGAGATTGAAAGCTGACCGGGGTTCACAAATAGGGCATTGGGTGATAGAGACCGTCCTTGACACCTTGGGGATTGTTGAAGCAAGGAGCTGCGAATGATAGTTGAGGCTACCTATTTGTTTATCTTAGTGGCCAGGGGAAGTTGGAGTGCAGAGGGAGCTGTAGTCATACTGCTGGTGCATTGCAGTGTGCACTTAGCGTCCTTGCCTCAGCGTCCTTGCCTGAGGTCCTTGCCTTAGGTCCGTGGTCGAATGGGGTTCCCGGCATTGAGGCCCCCTCACACACCCCTAACATACTACAACTCATGATAGCAGCCCCCAAAATCGGGTATCCCTAACTTTTGACAGAGCTGATGTGACCTGTGCAGCCTGAACATATCACATCTCGTAGCTAAGTCGCCTAAACACTCAACCCACCCTACGCAATGTGCATGGCCTCCTTGAAAGCTGATACCCGAGACCGCTGATGGAGAGGTGTATCGGCCCCCTCGCATGGTGGCGCCGGCGCCAGAATTTTTGAGCGTGAAGTCTCTAAGGGTCACGGTGGGACAAACAGGGTTGTGGGTCCGGGTCACAGTCTCCTTAGTAGCTGAGTGAGTACACTTGACACTTTTTGGGATACTATGACCCCTATAGAACTGAAAGTGTACACTTTTTTGGGGCCGATGAACTCAGCAACTAAGACACAGTCTCTGTCGTGCATTTGTACATGTATAGCCCTCTAGCAGAAGACATGCAAGTAGCACACCAGAAACTTCAAGCGCATGCTTGAGCCTGTAAGGCCACAGCCCTAGCTACTGTAAAGCCCGTTAACCAATCACAACGAAGAGGGCTGAACCCTAATCCCGAAATTGTGATTCCGGGGGTGGGCTTACTGGTTTGGGATTTGGGCTTATGGCTTAGGGTCCCGGGTCAATATTCCGCCAGGCTGAAGACAGGGTGCCCGGTACACCCGACACGGAGGCTGGGGCGTGTTCGGGGTTGATAGCCCTAAACCCTAAGCCCTAAACCCTAAACCCTAAACCGCCGAGGTTGAAGGCTAGGCCTTAAACCCTAAACCGAGGGTTGGGCCCAACCCTAAACCCTAAACCCTGAACCCTAATTCTGGGCGGTCCAGAGCGCCTCCGGAGGCTGCTGTGTATGGATCTGCGTACATGCTGTATGCCTCCCGACGCCCTTGAACCTCGCTGCGCCCCTAAACCCTAAACCCAAAACCCTAAACCCTAAACCCTAAACCCTAAGCCCTAAGCCCTAAGCCCTAAGCCCTAAACCCTAAACAACCCTGTTCCAATTGCAGGCCTTCGACTCGGACATCGAAGATCCCGAGGTCTCGGCTTTGAGGTTTAGGGCTTCTCTAGGGGTTCAGGGTTTAGGGTTTAGGGTTTAGGGTTTCGGGTTTAGGGTTTAGGGTTTAGGGCAGGGGTTGGTGTAGGGGTTTTATAGACCCTTTTAGGTTCAAGGCTTCTGTAGGGTTTAGTTAGTAGATTTTGGGCTCCAGGGTTTAGGATACGTTCCTTATACATATGGGTGAGTGTGTAATATATATATATATATATTATTTCCACACAGACATATCTTTAAAAATGTATCTTTTTATTTAGATGTACTTGTGTATATTTAGAATCACATGCGTGGGGTGTCCGCCTGGGGTACTTTACAATAAATCCCCGAACCCGAAGCTCCGCCTAAATAACCCCAAAAGCAAACCTGCACGCCCACGAGTACCCTTGACTAGAGGGAGGCTTGTATGCCCTGCTAAGCTGGCTTCAGGGCAGTTGGGGGGGGGGGGGGGGGCTGCCGGAAGCCCTGAACCTTTTCAACCCGCAAACCCCCAAACCCTAAAAACCCTAAAACCCAAAAACTCTAAAACCCTAAAACCCTAAAACCCTAAAACCCTAAAACCCTAAAACCCTAAAACCCTAAAACCCAAAACATCTAAAACCCTAAAACCCTAAAACCCCAAAACCCCAAAACCCAAAACCCCAAAACCCTCAAACCCTCAAACCCTCAAACGCTAAAACCCTAAAAGCCCTAAGCCTCCGCCTCCCCCAATGTCTTATTTTGGGGGGTTTAGGGTTTAGGGTGTAGGGTTTAGGGTTTAGGGTTTAGGGGTCAGCTTCTTCAGGCTTCGGATTTGTGAGGGCTGGTGATTGGTTCAACCCAGGGGCTCCAAGTTGGGTGTCCTTGCGTTGGTGTTCCTTCGGCCCAAAGAGGGTTTCGGGGTTTAGGGGTTTGGGGGTTTGGGGGTTTAGGGGGTTAGGGTTTAGGGTTTAGGGTTTGGGGTTTAGGCAGGGGTTTAGGGGTTTAGGGGTTTGGGGTTTGTGGGGTGCATTGGCCGTATAAGGGCTAAGGTCTGTAGGCCCTAAACCCCTCCCCAAGTGCCTGTATTCATGTTTTGCCGGTGTCTTCGGGTTTATGATTGGCTTAGGCCCCCTGGCATACAAGAAGCTACTTAAAGGCGCAGGCTTTCAGTGTTCAGGGTTTTAGGCTCCAGGGTTCAAGGTCCAGTTAGGGTCAATAAGATTACATATCCCAGGTTGTGTCCAGGATTCGAGCCCTTAGCCCGAAACCCAAAACCCTAAACGTTCGAGGTCATGGTCGAAGCAGGAAGTAAGGACATGCAGGGTGTGGGTTTGGGGGTTCATCGCCAAGCTCTCACGTAGCCGTGCTTTGCTCACAACAATTTCAACCATGGCTTTCGTGGAACGGCGCCTTCCTGCCCTGCAGCGGGTGTTCCTCAACCTCGACGCCAGCCCTTCTGGCTCGCAGAGCACTCTCCGTCGCTGCCGCAGTTTCTCCGGCTACACGTCCTTGGAGCTCGGCGAGGTCAATTGTGTAGCTTGGCTCGAAACCCTGGATCACTGGGGGGGGGGGGGGGGGGGCGGAGCAGCACCGGGCAGAACCTTAGCTGCTGAGCAGGTAGCCTTGAACATCTGTGAGGTTTTTTGTGTACTACAAAAACACAGGCTTTGGCAAACTCAGGCAGGAAATGTAAAAAGTAGTCCGTCAATACTAACCAAATATTGCAACAACACATACAAGAAGTTCCCCCTAAAACCCTAAACCCGAAACCCGAAACCCTAAACCATCAGGAAAGCACCGCAGAAGACCTGCCTTGGCCGGACACGGACGACGAGGAAACGGTGGCTTGGGTTGAGGCGCAATCCGCCGACACCGTGGCTCCGCCAGCCGAAGGCACCACGAGCAAGTTCTATTTTTGCTGTTTTCTTAAAGCCACTTTTGGGAATACTTTAAACTAATCACCCCTTCTATTTCTCATCAATCAACCCCAAACCCCAAACCCCAAACCCCAAACCCCAAACCCCAAACCCCAAACCCCAAACCCCAAACCCCAAACCCCAAACCCCAAACCCCAAACCCCAAACCCTAAACCCCAAACCCTAAACCCTAAACCCTAAACCCTAAACCCCAAACCCTAAACCCTAAACCCTAAACTCAGTAGGAGGCATCGACGGCCTGTGGCTGACACCACTGGCTCGGCCGGACGACCACAGCGAAGAACTCCTGGATCCCTTCCTTGAGGGGTTTAGGGTTTGGGTTTAGGGGGTTTAGGGTTTAGGGTTTAGGGTTTAGGGTTTAGGGTCTAGGGGGTTTAGGGGGTTTAGGGGGTTTAGGGGGTTTAGGGGGCTTTAGGGGGCTTTAGGGGGCTTTAGGGGCTTTAGGGGCTTTAGGGGGTTTAGGGTGTTTAGGGGGCTTGGGGGCTTAGGGGGTTTAGGGGTTTTAGGGGGTTTTAGGGGGTTTAGGGGGCTTTAGGGGGCTTTAGGGGGCTTTAGGGGGTTTAGGGGGCTTAGGGGGTTTTAGGGGGTTTTAGGGGGTTTAGGGGGCTTAGGGGGTTTAGGGGGTTTAGCGGGTTTTAGCGGGTTTAGCGGGTTTAGGGGGTTTAGGGGGTTTAGGGGGTTTAGGGGGTTTAGGGGGTTTAGGGGGTTTAGGGTTTGAGGGGATTAGGGAGTTCAGGGTTTAGGGTTTAGGGCGAGGGGGTAGGGGGAGTGCACCAACTCAGGGCACCGAATGATGTTGATCCAGCTTGGAGGTTCATGCCACTTACTAGCCAATTACAACTGTACTTCTAACCCGCTGAGAAGGTTTTTATAAGTGCTGTTATAGTTGGTTAATGAGTACCATGAGGACGTGCCAGACTACACGCCGCAGCGTACCACCGGCTTCCAGCAGGGCTTTTGCTTCTCGGTAATGCCCTTGGGATATTTTGTATTTCCTCTTATGGGGTTGAAGAGGATCATATTCAGGAATATTCTTCAGAGGGTTCTAAGGGCCATTCTAGGCTACCTGCCGAGTGGCTTCACCTGCTTACCACACAAGGGCTAGTCCAGTGTGAAGTGCGTCAACACCGGCACCGCGCAAACGTTTCAGAATGCCCGGCGCAATCGGGACATGGTACGCTCGCATGTGCAGGGCTTGCAGATGAACGTGGAGAACTGGTGCGGTTGCCAGATTTACCCAGAGAAGATGGCGACGGTGCCTCCACGGGTGTCCTCTGCCTTGATGGCAAGGGAGCAACTTCGTAGCTGGATGAGTACACTTTACACTTTTCGGGATACTACAATCCCCAGAAAGAACTGAAGGTGTGCACTTTTTTGGGCTTAATGACCTCAGCAACTAAGGCAAGCAGACCGCACGATATCCCAGCCAGCGCTCCCAAGCACGGGGGAGCAACTTAGGGATACTTGGGAATGAGTTTTCATTTTTTGGGGTACTATAATTCCGAAGAAACAGCCAAGATTCTAAACCCTAAGCCCTAAGCCCTAAGCCCTAAGCCCTAAACCCTAAACGGTTCCCTGTCCAGTGTAGGCAAGTGGCGAAAGCCCAGCGTGCAGGCGCCGTGGCCTTGAAGAAGGCGAGGGCCATGATGCCCGCCGTGGATCTTCGGCCGCTAGGATTCCCACTATTACCCTTATTCCCTTCTTTTGGGGGGGGGTTTAGGTTCCCTTTATAAGCCACTCAAAGCAAGAAGGGCACGCCTTTTTTCTCCTGGGTTCTTATTCTCCTTTTCGGGGGGTTTAGGTTCCTCTCTTCACCACTTTAAGCAAAAAGGGCACCCTTTTTCATCCTGGGTTGCTGGGCAACCTAGGCCGACGGTTCCAAACAGCCGCCCTCGACGTGGGCGGCGGGCCCCAAGGTCGTCGACGCGGCCTGAGAACCGATAACAGGCTTGAGGAGATTACAAAAGGGTTGGAGTACTTACTAATTGTCTTCCCTTATGGTCCTCTATCGTTATGCTAATGATAATCCCCAAAACCCTATTCTAAACCATTAAGGCCCCTATATTCGCAGAGCTCGCCGTAAAACGGATCGCGTATCCAACTATGCGATATGCAGAGGTGGCCCAATGATTAGCCGCCTGGTTGGAAGATCATGGTGCTGATATCCGGTCTGCCGAAAGTGAGGGTTCAAACTCTGACACTGAATCAAAGACCCGAGCTGCTAGGCTGAACTAATTGGACTGGCTTTGTTTCTAGTGCCTGGAGTCAGCAGAAGCCCAACTGAATTCAACCAACTTGCCCATTCACCGCGGACATGTTGTTGCATGCGTAAGAGCGCAAACACCTTTCAGATCACATCCATGAGACAACAGGTGATCTCAGAAAGGCACATGAATGAAACTCCAACGAAGTTGGGGGCAATTCGGACTCGACGGCACACGGTGCAGTGTAGGATGCCGTCTGATGAAGGGGGCCTTGACAAGTCGTCAAGAATAGGAATTGGCCGCAGGTTTAGGTTTGCGGGGCTTAGGCTGCTGAGTGCTCATTACTTCTTGTGATTTATGCACTGGTGCCGAGTTTCTGGCGACGCGTGACAAGTCTACAGGCCACAGGCCACCTTTTGGCTATGCAAAGTGCCACAGCCATAGCCAACCAGCTTGAACAAGATCCGGGTCCTCGTTCATGTTGCATCCAAACTTCACAGACTGCAAATCTTGAGTCGTAAGCCCTAAACCCTAAAAACCCTAAACCCCGAACGCTACACCCAATACCTCATGCCCTCTCTTTCGGAGGAGTCCCTGGACCTAGGATGCCCAGTACGATTGTTTTGTTCCCTTTGCATAGGCTTAGATTCCATAAAAACCCGTTCAAGTAACGAAAGGCACCCGTTTTCGTCTTAGCTACTGGGCAACCTAGTAGATGTACCTCCAGGATTGGGAGTGGCATGCCCGCTAGGAACGAGCAACTATCCTGGAGTCAGGCCTATCCTGGGGTTGATTTCGACGTAGTACGAAATATTTGTAGGCGCATGTGAACTTTGTTTAGGGTGCCCAAAGTCCACCCCAGTTTTTCACCTGCGAGAGCGTCGGCAGCTTCGTCTGTCGGTGCGCACTGTGAACGTCTTATCTAATTGGGCGGGGATCGGTCCGCTCTGTATGGCCTAAGGAAGCGGCTGAAGCTACTACTATTTACTTTTTGTTTGGGGTGAGTTCTTAAGCAATTGGTAGGTTAATACCCAAAACACGAAACCCTAAGACCGAAACCCTAAACCCATAAACCCATAAACCCATAAACCCATAAACCCATAAACCCATAAACCCATAAACCCTAAACCCTAAACCCTAAACCCTAGCCCCCTAAACCGTAAACCCTTAGGGTAAAGGGTTTCTGGGATGTTGGGGCCTTTGGTCCGATGCATAAGGGTTTTAGTACGGTTTTGGCGATGCAGAGTGCTCTGCCCTCCTCACCTGGCTGTTCAAAGGGTTTTAGGGTTTAGGGTTTAGGGTTTAGGGCTTAGGGTTTAGGGTTTAGGGTTTAGGGTTGCCATCTTTCGAAGACAGATCCCAGATTGTACCGTTATTTCGTGCTGTCTGCACCCAGGTTTGCAGGCAAACTCCTTCTGATGGGCAAGAGGGTCAACATACCCGTCTTGAGGCCCTGAAGCGAACATGCTCATATACCGCACCTGCGAAACGTCCAAAAGCGAAGCATGCCGCCGGGCCCACCACAGATTTCAGGGCTTAGGGTTTAGGGTTTAAGGTTCAGGGTTTAGGGTTTAGGGTTCAGGGTTTAGGGTTTAGGGTTCAGGGTTTAGGGTTTAGGTTTTAGGGTTAGGTCCCTTACCCTTGTTTATAGGGATCCGAAGTATGCCCCACCCCTTCGACAACCGGGAGGTCTTGGCCTCCATGCGGCCGGACGCCTCTTTACAGGAGGACCCCTCATGGCGTCTCTCTCTTGGGATGTAACACAGTCCTTAAGAGGATGAAGGAACCCCACCCCCATTATCATCCCTATTAAGGGCTGTTAGGATATGCTAGGGGCTTGGGGTTAGGGGTTCGGGTTTATGGCTTTAGGGTTTTTCGGGGCTTAAGGTTTGATGGGGCTCACAGCCTAGGACTTTTCAGCAGGACTTCTCTGTGTTTGGTAGGCCCTTGTGATTTTTTTGATTTTCCCCTTGATTGGGGCTTAATAAGACCATGTTTAGGGGGTTTTTTGAAAGGGTTTTGAGGGCCATCCTAGCGTAGGTTTTGCAACTTGTAGTGGAGCGTGTGTTTTTTGTTGCCGGGGGCGTCCCGGTCTTGTCGGCGGTTTTTGGATGTTTCTGGGGCTCTGCGCGCGCGTCCCGAAACCCTAAACCCTAAACCCGAAACCCTAAACCCTAAATCGAAGCCTTGAGGTGATGGGTGCCTAGGGTTGTGCCCTTGGGTTTGGGCACTCTTTTTAAGGATCCCCTCAAAATTTATGAAAGCCAGATACGGGTTTAGGGTTTAGGGTTCAGGGTTCAGGGTTCAGGGTTTAGGGTTCAGGGTTTAGGGTTCAGGGTTTAGGGTTTAGGGTTTAGGCTTACCGGGCTACCAGGACCCTAAACCCGAAACCCTCAACCTAAACCTGCCCTAAAGCCCGGACTTCATGAGCCTGTGGCTCCGAGTTTGGGGTTTAGGGTTTAGGGTTTAGGGTTTAGGGCTTAGGGCTTAGGGCTTAGGGTTTAGGGTGAGTTGTTTCTGGTTGGGTTCGTTTCGCACGTGGTACCCTCGAACCTGACAGCGATCACCTAAACCCTAAACCCTAAACCCTAAACCCTAAACCCTAAATCCTAAACCCTAAACCCTAAACCCTAAACCCCAAACCCTAAACCCTTACAGGGCACCAGCGCTTCGCAAGCCAACCGATCCCCCCCAAGGAGCTGAGAACGGCCATGGGAGTAGAGGTGCTTGGGGGCGTGGGGACGAAGGGGTTCCGGGTTTCGGCATGAAACGTTTAGGCCTTGGGGTGAGAAGGTTGGGTCTAGGGATTTTGGTAGGAGTCAGGGTCCAGGGCACCTCCATGGAGCCAAGAAGCCTAGTGAAACTGCTTTGCCCAGTTGGGTTCTGGCTTCCTGCAAAGTTCTAGCCAGCAGTAAAGATGGTACCCTTGTTATGGGGGGGCTTCTCGAAGTGATGTACCCTGCGCTACAGATAAAGAAAAGGGCGCATGAGGGTCCGACCAGACTTGGCTAAACCTAAACCCTAAACCCTAAACCCTAAACCCTAAACCCTAAACCCTAAACCCTAAACCCTAAACCCTAAACCCTAAACCCTAAACCCTAAACCCTAAACCCTAAACCCTAAACCCTAAACCCTAGCCCTAAACCCTAAACCGCTCTCCCATGCAGGCCGAGGATGCTGCAGCCGCGGCGGCCAGCGATGTAGTCTCGGCGGAGCCTGCTGCCGCAGGGGAGGCCTTGCCACTCGGGACCCTACTTCACTATGGAGACTTTTGGGTTTAGGGTTTAGAGTTTAGGGTTATGGGGTTTAGGGTTTAGGGTTTAGGGTTTAGGGTTTAGGGTTTAGGGTTTAGGGTTTAGGGTTTAGGGTTTAGGAAGAGAACCTCAAGAAGCACGGGTGATTGTGAAAGCGGTTGTTGATTGTTGGCCCTTGCTTGGCGCCGGGCTCAATGCCTTCTTAAGGAAGCTTATCGTTTTTTTTGTTTAACTTTGTTTTCGACAAGTGCGCTGGAAGTAGTGGACCAGCCATGTTTGCCATTTCCTACCTGTTGTGCGTGTGCTACGCCCATGGTTCCAGCAGCTGGACGTGGACCGCAGTCACATCGGCGTCAGGCCACTTCTGGAAGGGTGTTAGTGTCTCAGGTGACGGAAGTCGGATGGCTGCCGTCGCCTTCTGGGGCAACATCTGGACCAGCGCCGACGGCGGCGCAAGTTGGACCGAAATCACATCGGTAAGCTTCACAGCTTGGATGGATGTTGCGGTTTCCGGTGATGGATTGAAGATGGCTGCCGTCGGCAACTATGGCAACATTTGGACCAGCTCCGACGGCGGCGCAAGTTGGACCGAAGACACATCCGTGGGAAGCACCCAAAACTGGTACGGTGTTAGTGTCTCTGGTGAC